TTCAGTACTGTAGCTCTGTAGCAGAGTTTGAAGTCAGGGATTGTGATGCCTCCAGAAGTTCTTTTATTATATAGGATTATTTTGGTTAAAATGATTTAATCTTAAAGCCTACCTCTAGTGACAAACTTCCTGCAGCAAGGCCATACCCCCAAATCTTCTCAAACAGTGCTACTAACTGAGGACCATGTATTCAAATGCTTAAGACCATGGGCACATTTCTCATTTAAACCACACACACACACACACATACACACATGCACACACACACACACATACACACATGCACACACACACACGCACATACACACATGCACACACGCACACACGCACACACACACATGCACACACACACACATACACACACTTTTTAAAAAAGAAGGAGAAAAGTTGGGAGCTGGGGTGCACCTCAATGATAAAGTGCTTGCCTATCCTGCACAAAACACTGGGCTCAATCTCTAGCAATGGTGAATTGAGAGACGGGAAGAGAGGATAGACAGACAGAGACAGAAAGAACTGCAGAGAACAGGCAAATAAACCACCCAGATCAAGCAAGAGGGAAAGTAGGGTTGTGGGGTGCTGAGGTTTGCATGTCTGCCTCTCTAATACATGTGCTGAAAGCTAAGCACCAGGACGATAGGCTAGGCCTTCAGGAGGCCATGCATTACTGCTTTATCAAAGGGGCCTGAGGGAGCTTGGCCTCTTCGCTGGCTCACGAAGTCACAGAAGGCACGTTCTATAAGGAACCCAACCCAGCTGGAACTGTGATCATGGTTTCTTGCTTTCTAAGGTGTAGAGTTCTATAACTTCCAAATGTCTAGTGTGACATATTTCATTATAATGGCCTCAGTGGATTGGGACAACAGGAGACGTCTGTGAAGCTGATAAGGCTTTTGCACAAGGCCTGTCCTGTCCTCCTTCCCGGAGGGAAAGGTAGATTGTCCTATTTGAGAGGGAATGCCACATTGTAAGCAGCAAGTTTATATATAAAAGGGGTCTAGATGTCACCTGCATATCTTAGAAAGAAGGCTGCAGCCATTTTTTTTGGTGACTTATTTCTTCATTATAAGTACATACCATACTAATAGTATAAATACTATTATAATATATATTTTTTTTGAGACAGGGTCTCATGCAATCCAGGCCATGACCTTGAACCTCTGATCTTCCTGCGCCTATCTCCCAAGTGCTAGATACCAGGTGTGTTTCACTGTCTGGGTTTTGTGCGGTGCCAGGGATTAAATTCAGCGGGCTTCATGCGTACTAATCACTCTGCCTGCACTTTTTCTTTCAAAGGACTCTTTGTACTGTATAAACTTTAGATCTCATCACAGAAAGATCTAAGAGCTAGAGGTGGACCTGAGGCCACTCACTGAACTTTCTAGAGTGTTGCTACTCATCTGGCTGGGACTTGGTTGCTTGGGTGCTGAAAACAGTTCAGCTGGATTCTGCTTAGGTCGGGATCCTTGTGACGTGTGAGCATACTGTCAAAGCCGATCACAGACCAGAGACGTGAGGCTGAAGAAGGAAGGGGAAGTCAGGCGGACTACAGGAAATCAGAGCATCCATGGCCCCGGAAAACCTGGAGAAATGAGAAGGATGACACAGGTGGGAGTGGAAATGAGGATGGAGAGGTGCCGATCAAGAGAGAGGGCTGCAGTAGCACTGAGTTCACTGAGTTATCGAGGTCATGGGACAGTCGTATACTTTAAGGAAAAGGTCTAGATGCAAAAGGATTCCCAACCTGGGCTTGGTGGTGATCACTAGTAATCCAGCCTCGAGGAGATGGAAGCAGTTGGGTCAAAAGTTCAAGGTCATCTATGGCGAAAGCTAGCCTGGGATTCACCTGAGCAGTTCAAGACAAAACTAAACAACCCCACCGTGCAAGGATCTGCAGATGGCTCTCTGGCCGCCTCTACAATCTCACCATGCTAATGCTCTCTCTACAATCTCACCGTGCTAACTGCTCTCTCTACAATCTCACCATGCTAATGCTCTCTCTAC